GTCTAGGCAAGTGGGCAAGTGGTGGAAGTCCACCACGCAGAGTCAGCAGTCCCAGTCCAGCCAGTTGGGTCCAGTCAAGCAAGTACCGTCTGGGACTGTGTACACCGTGTGCCAGGGAAACAGGGCAGACCAATGCTTCACAGAAGTATAAATCAAGAGGCTGCGCACAGTCATTCATTCATTCCTGCGGAAGCCATGCGGAAGCGCTGCCTCAGCGTCTTGTGCGAGGAAGTCTGCAGTATGCTTGAAGTTGAAGTGGGCAGAGAAGCGTAGTATAGCGATAGGGTAGTGGCAGCTAGCGCTGCCATAACTATAGTAGTGTGTGTGTGTGTGTATTGTGTGAGTGTCCAGAGTGTCGTGTGTGGGATATCCAGGGTGATCCAGTGTGTGAACAATGGATGTTGGGCGCTCAGTCGCCATAGCCAGTGGAAGTGAACTTACCTGGAAGCCATGTCCCTGTGTACTGTGTGGGCGCATGTCGCCAGTTTGTTGTGTTGTTGTTCACGTGCATGGAAAGTGTGAAAGAGTCGAGTCTGATTGCATTGGTATCGGAGCTGGTTCCCGCTATCCCATGCACGCCGTCGTGTGCAGGGCCGATGCGCCATAGCTGAGGTGGCCGCTGGAAGGAGAAGTCCGCCATAGCGAACCTGAGGAGGAGAAGATGGCCGCCATCCTGCAAGAGAGAAAAGAAAAGAAGGAAGCCAAGAAGAAGGCCCTGCAGGAGGAGCACGCGGCAAAGTTGAGAAAGATGATGGAGGGGATGGCTAGAGAAAAAGAGAGGTTGAAGAAGGAAGAAGAGGAGAAGTTGAAGGAGGTGGAAGAGGAAGAAGAAGATGAACCACCACTGCAAAGGAGGAGAGGGAAGCACAGTGGCAGCAAGGATGAAGAGATGGAGAAACGGATTTCGGAGTCGGTCGCCGACTTATCCCTGGGCGAAGAAGAAGAGGTAACTATGTACATCCCCAAGGATGAGCAAGAAACCGCTATGAGAAAACGGGAAGCAGAAGAAGATGTCCTGAAGCGGCAGGTGATGGAAGATGAAACGAGGATGGAGTGGAAACTCGCAATGACGAGGGAGAAGAAGAAAAGAGTGGACGCGGCGAGCGAAGTGGTCAAGGATCTGGAGGAGGTGCAAAAATTGACTCTACGATTGACACCCCAGGTAGACCTCCAACAAAAGGTAGAGATCATTGCCCAGAGTGTTGAACGTTTAGCCAGAGTGCAAGAACAACAAGACGAGTTTAGCCAAAGCCAGGATATAGTTGTGCGTTCAATGCGAATGGGATTTCGGGACTTTGCTTGCGAGCTGGTAGGTGTTGTAGGAGCCGAGGTGAATCATCGCCTCGAGAAGACTGAGCGCTTTTGTGTGGGCGCCATCGAGGGCGTCAAGGTGGCAGCTCCCAAGGAGGAAGAGGCGCGTCCTCGTAGGGAGCCGGTCAAAGTCAAGTTCCCTGATTCCTACAGTGGAAAGAAGGAAGAAAACTTTGACAACTGGGAGGCCAACGTCAAAACCTATGTGCATCTGCAACAGGTCTCCCCAGATCAGCACGTGTTGATTGCGATTCATGCGCTTAGAGACGAGGCCGCCAGTTTCGCAAGGTCCCTAGTCCGCGCGGCCAACTGTAACAACGATGCGGTGGCCTATTCATCGTTCACTCCCCTCGTTGACTTCATGAAATTGCTGCGCGAGCAATTCGCTGATGTCGCTCGCAGTGTCAAGGCCTCAGATAAGCTCCAAACCATCCATGCTCATAAATGGAAGAGTGTCAGGGCACTCAAGGGCACGATGGATGAGTTAGTGGCTGTCCCTGACCATGGAGTCACGGAGGCCCAATTGGTTGGCCTCTTCTATCGGGCTATGCCCGAAGCCTTTCGAGGGCACTTCTTCGCGAAGAGCGAAGACCCTGCCACCACTTATGATTCTCTTAGTCGTGAAGTGGTGGCTTTTGAAGCGAAGTTGGTGTCGCTCTCTACCTTCTGGCACAAAGACCTCGACAAAGGAAAGCAATGGAAAGGTCGCACGATCTCAGGGCAAGTTAAGACTAAGGATAGTCTTGTCCTGACTTTAGACAAAGGTAGTGTCGGCGAGATCCCCTATGAACAGATTGAATGGGGGTTAGAGGACGAGGACAGCGGTGCGAGTCAGGGGAGAACTTACGCTGCTGTTGCGGCTGGAGGGAGGCCGCAAGGAGGAGGACGAGGCCAAGGCCAAGGGGGCCGGGCCTCAGGGAGCTAGTTTCAGGGCGATACGGGGTTGGCGGCAGAGGAAGCAACCGCCAAGCGGGAGGAAGGGGTCAAGGTCCCCCGCAAAACCGTCCTAGGAATAGGTCTCCCTATAGGGTAGGTGGATGGCACCCAGGGCTACCTCAGGGTAGGCCTTGGGAAAGTTTGGGTCTGGACCAGAGCTTATGGCAACAGCGTCTAGACCGGGGCCAGTGCATTTTCTGCGGTGACCGGCCATATCATTAAATACTGTCCTAAGTATAGAGAGACCCGGACGGCTGCTCAAGGGCCAAAAGGCAGCCGCCGGTAGGGGTAGCAACTGCCCCTACCATTAGGCCATGTGGGGAACATAGCGCTAGCCGGCAAGAGACTCCCACACCACGTGTGCCTATGGCAGAGGTTGCAAACCGGTGTCTAGATCGCTGTCCGGAGACTGCTTATGTTAGAGTCTCTCTAGACACCTCCCTCACAGGCGTGGCTGAAGAATTGAAGGAGAGGATGCCCGCCTGGGGCAAGATGAAGAAGGAGAATAAAGGACAGGTTATATTAGTAGACACAGAGATCTTTAGGAGTAGGGTAGGGGCCCTAGTAGATTCAGGGGCCACCCGCAGCTATATCAGTAAGAAAGCGCTGCAAAAGTTGAAGCTCGGACTTAAAGTCCAAAAATTAGCAGACCCCATAGTATCCTTGCTGACAACCGTACAATGGTTGTAAAGGATTATGTGGACGGATTCCAGGCGTATTTCCGCCTAGAGAATGATGGGAAAGTGGAGAAGGTCCTCCACTCCCTGACTCTCCTCGTAGAAGACAGCCTCCCATTCGACATTGTCATGGGAATGGATTGGGGAGAGGCAGTCGGGGCCACACTCCATTTGAAAGAGCACGAGTGTAAGCTCCCTAGTCCTTCAGGCGAGGCTAAGACTGCCCGCCTGTTCCATGTGTCAGGAGTAGAGAATCCCCTGGCACATTGCTACCTTAGTGCACCTGCATTCGCGAGATTCGTGAAGAAAGAGCACCTAGAAGAACCAAGTCTTTGTAGCCTATGTTAGGCCAGTGACTGAGCCTAAGGAAGAGAAGCCTATAGACCCTGCTATTGCCAAACTGCTGGAGGAGTTTAAAGATCTAGCTGAGCCGCCGATAGGAGTAGTACCGCGGCCCATCCAACATCGCATTGAGATAGAGCCTGGCAGTAGAACTCCTAAGGGTGCGGTGTACATGATGTCCCCGCGGGAGTTAGAGGAGCTTCGTAAGCAACTAGACAAGCTCCTTGAGAAGGGTTGGATTAGGCCCAATTCATCTCCATTTGGAGCGCCTGTTTTCTTTGTCCCCAAGAAGGAGGGAGAGTTGAGGATGTGTATAGACTATAGGGGCCTGAATACTGTTACAGTGAAGAATGTTGAGCCACTGCCTAGGATAGACAATCTCTTGGATCGAGTGCAGGGGGCGAAGTACTTCTCAAAGATAGATTTAAAGTCCGGATATCATCAGATAGAGGTGCATCATGATGATCAATATAAGACAGCCTTCCGGACTAGATATGGGCACTATGAGTTCATAGTGATGCCCTTTGGACTAACCAATGCGCCAGCGACGTTCTAGCGCTGTATGAACGATTTGTTTAGGCCATGGTTAGATAGATTTGTTGTTGTCTACTTAGATGACATCTTAGTGTTTAGCAAGACCCTCCAAGAACATCAGGGTCATCTCAGGCAGGTCTTGGAGAAGCTGAGAGAAGCAAACTTCAAGATCAATGCAAAGAAGTGCGATTGGGCGAAGACCCAAGTCTTATATCTAGGCCACGTCTTAGACGGAGACGGCGTTAAGCTAGAAGACGGCAAAATCGCAGCGATTAGAGATTGGCCCACGCCTCGTACGCTAACAGAGTTGCGATCATTCTTGGGCTTAGCTAACTACTATAGGAAGTTCGTGAGGAACTCCTCCACTATCGCTGCGCCCCTTCGCAGACTGCTCAGGAAGGAGGCCATCTGGAAGTGGGATAAGGATTGCACGTCTGCCATGAAGAAGTTGAAGCATGCATTGATAGAGTACCCAGTCCTTAAGGTAGTCGATCCGTCCTTGCCCTTTGTCGTTACTACGGACGCTAGTCAGTACGGCATAGGTGTTGTGTTGCAGCAAGACGATGGCAATGGTTATAGACCCGTAGAGTTCATGTCCGCTAGGATGCCTTCAGAGAAGGTTGCGACATCTACCTATGAGAGGGAACTCTACGCTCTCAGGCAAGCATTAGAGCACTGGAAGCATTACTTGCTTGGGAGGCACTTCAAAGTCTATTCTGACCACGAGACCTTGCGATGGTTAAAGACGCAGGCCAAGATGACACCTAAGCTTACTAGGTGGGCCGCAGAAATAGATCAATACGACTTTGAGCTCAAGCCGGTCAAAGGGAAGTACAACGTAGTTGCGGACGCTCTGAGTAGGAGAGCTGATTACTTTGGGGCCATAGTCTATTATCTAGATATAGGGTCAGACCTACAACAGAAAGTTAAAGAGGCGTACGCGCAGGACCCCAKMTATAGTGAGCTCCTTAAGAGAGTTAAGGAAGCCCCAGAGTCCGAGCCATATTACCGCACTACTGATGGGTTGTTGTTTGAGAAGACTAACGTGGTAGACCRTTTGTGCGTCCCCAACAGTGAAGAGATCCGGAGTCTGATCTTGGGGGAATGTCACGACACCGAAGGACACTTTGGTTGGCAGAAGACTTTAGCCAACTCGATGCACGCGTACACCTGGCCAGGAATGAAAAATGACTACATAGAGTATGTTCGCAGTTGCAAAGTCTGCCAGAGAAATAAGTCCACTACGCGTGCCCCTCTAGGTCTTCTCAGACCTTTACCTATCCCTGATCAGCCGGGAGATTCAGTGTCCATTGACTTCATGGACACCGGCGTTAAGAGTAGACATGGCAAGAGCCAAGTTATGGTCGTGGTAGACAGATTTAGTAAGTATGCTATTTTTGTTATGCTATTTTTGTTCCCTTACCGTCAGAAGCCAGAACAGAATTAGTAATTCAAAAGTTCTTTGATCACTGGGTCAGTGAACACGGGGTTCCGCTGTCTATAGTTAGCGATAGAGATACCCGGTTCACAAGTCTAAACTGGCAGGAACTGATGCGAGTCTACGAATCCAAGTTGTTGATGTCATCTGGCCGTCATCCAGAGACGAACGGTCAGACTGAACAAGATCCTGCAGCAAGTCCTGCGCATGTACATTAGGCCTGATCAAGTCAATTGGGATGAGATGCTTCCCAAGGTAGCCAGCGCATACAACAACAGCCTGCACCTATCAACCTGCCGCACTCCCAACAAGCTCCATAAATCCTTTAGACCACGAAGACCATTTGAGGGACTTAGTCGGGATCAGATTCACAGGCTGCCGCCCGGTACAAGGGAGTTTGCGATTCAGCACGAGAAAGAGATAGCAACTGTTGTTGAAAATCTTAGGAAGGCCCAGCACCGCATGATTGAACAGGCGAACAAGCACCGTCGCCCTTCACAATTTCAAGTAGGTGACTTGGTCTGGGTCCAGTCTAAAGAGTTTGCGCCTGAAGAGAACATTTCGCAGAAGTTACTGCCTACGTACAGAGCACCGTGGCCGGTACTGGAAGTCAAGGGTGGCAAAGATGGACCGTCCTATACCATAGAAATCCCAGCACACCTCCACACTTACCCAGTTTTCCATGAATCGAAGTTGTTACCTTGTCAAACAAGTGATCGATTTCCATCCCGTAGATCTATGATCCCACCAGATATGGATGGGAGGTATGACATCGATGGCATAGTAGCTGAAGATGTATTTAGGACTGGAGGTAGAGGTCGTCCACAAAAACAGTACAAGGTTCATTTTAGTTATCAAGAGCCAGAAGACTGGTTTACGAGATCCGAACTTCTAGAGACAGCTCTCGATATAGTCCGGGCCTACAAGAGGCAACAGAAAGGTAAAGGTCCTACCTTGGACTGAAATTTTCTCGGAGGACCTCGAATTTAGGCCGGCGGGAGTGAAACGGTATTCACTAGTTTGCAGTAACTCATGCAGATCCCAAGGCTCGATCCCTAGTTCCCCACCTTACCTGTATACAATACCTGTGTCAACCCGTAGATTCGAACCTGTGACCTGTAGGACCACCAGTGGTAGGTAGGATTTCGTAGGTTACAGGGTATAGGGGATTTGAACTGTAGACCTGTCGGGTAGGAGTCTAGACAGTCCAGAGGTTGTAGTTGTAGACTGTCCGAAGGGTCAAAGTTGTAGCTGCTACTTACCTGAAAGGGTAGAGTCGTAGTTGCTACAGCACCGAAAGGCCAAATAGAGGTTTCTAGAAGTGGCCTTTCGGAAGTCAGCCCACTGTAGGTCTAGGCAAGTGGGCAAGTGGTGGAAGTCCACCACGCAGAGTCAGCAGTCCCAGTCCAGCCAGTTGGGTCCAGTCAAGCAAGTACCGTCTGGGAATGTGTACACCGTGGGCCAGGGAAACAGGGCAGACCAACGCTTCACAAAAGTATAAATCAAGAGGCTGCGCACAGCCATTCATTTATTCCTGCGGAAGCCATGCGGAAGCGCTGCCTCAGCGTCTTGTGCTAGGAAGTCTGCAGTGTGCCCGAAGTCTAAGTGGGCAGAGAAGCGTAGTATAGCAATAGGGTAGTGGCAGCTAGCGCTGCCATAGCTATAGTAGTGTGTGTGTGTGTATTGTGTGAGTGTCCAGAGTGTCGTGTGTGGGATATCCAGGGTGATCCAGTGTGTGAACAGTGGATGTTGGGCGCTCAATCGCCATAGCCAGTGGAAGTGAACTTACCTGGAAGCCATGTCCCTGTGTACTGTGTGGGCGCATGTCGCCAGTTTGTTGTGCTACTGTTCACGTGCATGGAAAGTGTGAAAGAGTCGAGTCTGATTGCATGCTAGTTGAATCTCCGGCGGGTCATCACAAAACGGCATGGAGCATCTTTCTTGGGATTCCTCATTATGTATTCCTTCTCTATGGGCAGACAACGACAGGGAGGATCGGTCCAACGCAAGGGCATTCAGCTGCTGCAGGATATGATCTGCAACAGCTCGCCCTGGTGGTGATAAACTATGAGTACATTGCTCTGCCGGTGGTTCATATAGAAGTCTATTTTCCTCCTCGGACTGCTGTGTTCGTCGTTCGTCTGGCAAGAGGGAGATCCGTCAGCGGTTGCCATAGGTGTATGACCAATACCGCATGTGGGAAATGCTAGGAGAGGATGTGAAGGGTGATGGCACTGGGGATAGTCCACGTTGTAAAGACACGTACTTTCTATGACAGCTTCCTGGAAGCATTGACGACACATGGCATGTTGCTGACATGTCATTAGTATGGAAGGCTGACGTGCACAATTATTTAAGCATGGCAGATCAAGGCCACAACAGCATGATGGGCAAGTAATCAGGGGGTGGGGGGGATGAGCACAGGACTGGGGATCACAATTTTCATGTGAGAGGCTAGCAGCGACCATCCCTTCATAGTGTTCGAAGCAGAGGCTATGTCGTGTACATGCCAACCGATCTATACCTGTGCGACAACACAACGGGAGGGCACATCCATCATCCTGTGGAGAGGTCCTTTCACTGTTTGTGGTAGAATCAGCAGGATTGCTCTTCGGGCGGTGCAGTGCTTGCAAATGCTCATTGACATACTGTTCCTGATGGATGAGCCAGACTGAGTGACCCTCCAGAGTTTGGTGATAGAAATAGTTAATATTTCCCACTAAGTGCACCCACCGCCATTGTCCCATAGGGTCCACGAATTATCTGCAAAGGTAAGAGCACTGAAGTGACCTGGACGATATAACATATATGCCCGAATATTTGGATCCGTGCCTGGCTCGTGGTTTTGTGGAGCAGGCTGGAATTGCAGTTGCCTACCCATAAATGCCATAGCCAGGACTTCTATGTTCACCCCAGGCGCAGTGCTGTTGTCGTCTGGGAGACGACACGGTGCTCTTCTTCTATGCAGCGAACAACGTCTGCGAAACCAGCAACAGTATAAGGATTACAATTGTAAGCAAGGAGACATACATTAATGGCATAGTACGCACAACGCCCTCGCTGTAGCGCTATGACATTGTCTGATTCCGCAGGTTACGTGCGGGATCCGTTTACGGGAGGGGGATCCTCGTTCGATTCTGCAGGTTGCCCAGGTGGCGGAGACTCGTTGTGGTCTTGACCAATTGGCTCCGGTATGTGCTCCAGAGAGAGATGATCTTCAACCGGGGGCTCCGTCAGGTAATCAGGAGACGGGCCATTGTCATTTGGGGCAGGGGAGCGAGTGGGGCTAGGTGGATGAGAGAGGGGCGGGCCAGGTGGGTGAGAACAGGGTGGACCAGATGTGGGAATCGGAAGCTGATCAGCCTCACTTGTGCTTAGGGCGGCTGCTAGTCGCGCAAACGCTGCACAAGTAGCAGCACCTCGTGGCTGGTGCACTCGTAAGCCTGCAGCACTGAAGAAATCATCGCCACATTGCGGGCATGGGACTCGATGTGCACTATTCCTTGCTAGTGAATACTGAAAGCGACGATGTCGTTCCGTATGGTTGTGAGCATGTCGTCGGAGCAGATCTCTAACCCCCGCAGGGGGCGCGATGATCATGTCATTCAACGACAAACGAGAACGTTGTCTTGGAGGCTGTTGTGGAGACGGGGAACGTCTCCGCCGAAGAGGCATCTGTAACGATCGATCTAACAACGGATACCTCGGCCGACAGGGCCTTTGTGACGGCCGATCTGACCATGAGTGCGTTGATGATGAGGATGCAATGAACCCAGATCATGAAGACAGTTGTCAACAATGCAAGTCCAAATGAGTGTCAAACTGCTGATGATTATCAATAATCGTATTCGTGTCCAGATACCCAAGAGAAGAGAAGACATACAAAGACGAGATAGATGAGAGGGAGGGAAGACTTAGAGTGGGGAAGATAGAAACAATGCCCACCGCTTCTTCGGGCTCCCTCCGCGATCACCACCTCAATCAATAATTTGAACGAGTATCTGAAGTAACCTCAATGTGCCACGTGGCACGTCTAGTCAGTCCTCATCAGCGATGGAGCAATGTCGACATGAAGAAAACCAGGTAAGTATCCACGATCTCTCCACAGTCTTGATCTCCTCCTGAATGACGATAATCAGAACAGCAACACAAGTCACATAGCTTCGCCTCGTCAACCAGTAGTACACGTGGCAGCAGCCACGTCAACGACAGCGCATGGCAGCTGCCACGTCAGCATGCCAAGAAGACAGGTGCAAGCCAGCCACCATGCCGGACCAGCAGCGCGTCGCCGTAGACATAATGCCAACACAGAGCCAGCGCTCATCCAGCTTCACAGCGTCGAACAAGAGTCGTTGTCAACGCTTGAAGACAGCATCGACGTAAGACAGAATCAATGTAAAAGCCATGAAAGTCGGTGCTTATGTAGCATTGACTCGGGGTCTGGGCCCCGGATGCTACCACCCTCAACCGTCCAGATTTCGATACAAACTAAGGCCCAGATTGGTCTGAAACCGAATTCCCTCCAGCCTGGATGCTTGTCTGGGTACCTGCGCACAACAAATGAGTGTATCCAACCAAGGGCCTGGGTTCAACCAAGGGCCTGGGTTCAACCAAGGGCCTGGGTGTGGTACCTTTGACTCTACAGTTGACTTTGACCCTTGAATTTCCTGTGTGCAGCGTTCGGTCGCACAGCCAAACGTAACAGACTCAGGTCTGGGCCTGTCTAGGTCACACCGCTCAGCGCAGACCAATTCAGGTATGTGTTGCCTGGGGCCGAGTTCTAGGCCCCAGGCTACTTCTGAACAGCGTTACTGCATTCCTCCCGGCCCATTTTCGAGTGCCACCGCATAAATATTTAAGACTTTAACCCTATCAGGAGAGTTTCAAGTAGTTCTCGTTTACTAAACCATTTGTCCTCAGATGGTGCCTGAGACTTAAAAAACGTACCTTGAACTGCTTCTGAGGCCGTCCACGTCCTCCCAAAGAGAAGTAACCATGCTCTATGATTTTGTCTACCTCATATCTGCCTTCCATAGATGGCGGAATCATAGAGGGTCTGTTAGGAAATTCATTCCTTTCTACATAGGGCATCAGTTTGGATGCGTGAAAGGCAAGATACGTTTGAGATGAGGGGGAATATCAATGCGATAAGACGGTCCCTCTGCATCTCCAATTACTTTGAGAACTTCCCAGGGTCCAAAATAGAAAGGAAGCAATTTCTGGGACACATTTTCCTCTAATGAAAACTCTTTAGAGTTTACCCAAACCAGATCACCCTCTTTGAGTGTAGATGGTCGACGATGCCTGTTGGCTTGTTCAATCATCCGTAGTTGAGCTTTCCTTGGATTATCTTTAACTTTCTAAATGTCCTCCTGAAACAATATTGCATATTATCGGGTCCCTGGGGGCAACCTAAGGAACTGGTCCCAGTTTAGTACATCAATGGGACATTTAGGTGTCCACCCTTTGTGAAGTGCATTCGGGGTTCGTCCAGTGGAAGTGTGGATACTATTGTTATATGCACTAGCAATTTTCGGTAAGTTCTCGTCCCAATCAATCTGATCGGGTCTTAACATACATACGCAAAAAGTTATTGGCACAGACGGTTCATTTGTTCAGTCTGGCCATTCGTTTCGGGATGCCTCCCTGACGACATGGTCAGCCGCGTGCCATAAGCTTCCATCAGCTTTTGCCATGGCAAACTGGTGAACCTGACATCTCGATCAGACACAATGGATTTAGGAAACCCATACTCAGTGACCCATCGCATCTGAAATTTCTAACTGACAAGTTCAGTACGCGCTTCTGCTGGTAAGGGAACAAACATAGCGTATTTAGAGAAATGGTCCACAATTACCATCACTTGACAATTACCATTGCGACTTTTAACCGGACTCATGAAGTCAATTGAGATAAACTCACCTGGTTCGCTTGGTATAGGTAATGGCTTGAGAAGTCCAAAGGGATTCTTATGTGACGGCTTGTTTCTCTGACACACTAAACATGTACGAATATATGTTAGTACATCTTCTTTAAGTCCCTTCCATTCGAAACGTTTTCTGACTTCAGCATATGTTTTCTTGAAACCAAAATGACCCTCAGAATCGTGACATTCTCCAATTAACATACTCTTAATCTCTTCCTTATGAGGAATACACAGTCTTTGTTCGGTTTGGTCAATCAAGAACAACAACCCATCAGTTAGTCTATAGTTGGGTAGTTGGGACGGATCTAGTACAAGGATATCCATGATTGGTTTCCAGATAGGATCAGTAGCATATCCTTGGCGAATCTGGTCTTTCAAGTCATTCCCAACATCCAAGTAAGAAACAATTGCACCAACGAAATCACTGCGTCGGGACAAAGCATCTGCAAACACATTAAACTTACCTTTGATAGTCTTGAGTTCAAAGTGAAAGGTGTCAATGAATGCAGACCATCTTACCAACTTGTCAGAGAGTCTGGACTGTGTTTTTATCCACTTTAGGGTTGAGTGGTCTGAGTACACAGTAAAGTGTCTCCCTAACAGGTAGTGCCTCCATGTGTCCAACGCACAGACTAAGGCACAGAGTTCTCTTTCATACGGGGAGTTGGCGACTTTGTCAGACGACAATCGTTTAGACATAAATTATATGGGCCTATAGCCCTTGCCGTCATCTTGCTAGAGAACAGCGCCAATCCCATACTGACTTGCGTCTGTGGTGACAATGAAAGGCAAAGACTGGTCAACAATCTTAAGGACAGGGTAGTGAATCGGTGCATACTTCAATTTTCGAAAGGAAGACTCACAATCCTTATCCCACAACCAGATAGTTTTTTTCTTTAACAATTTTCGCATTGATACAGCAATCAGTGAGAAGTTTCTAACAAACTTCCTATAATAACTAGCTAGACCAAGGAAAGATTGTAGTTCAGTAATAGACTTAGGTTGTGGTCAATCTCTAATTGTTGATATTTGTTTCTCTTCCGGCCTTAGACCTTCTTCGTTTACTATGTGTCCTAGGTATAACACTTCGGACTTAGCAAACTCAGACTTCTTTGAGTTGATCTTAAAGTTTCCCTCACGCAATTTCCCTAACACCAAACAAAGGTGCTTCTCATGATCCTCTCGTGTTTTACTATACAATAGAATATCATCGAGATAGACAATGACAAACTTATCCAATCATTGACGAAACAAGTCATTCATTGACCTTTGAAAAGTGGCAGGAGCATTCGTTAATCCGAAAGGCATTACCACGAACTCATAATGGCCATACCTGGTCCGGAAAGCGGTCTTATGCTGATCGGAGGGTTCCACCTCAATCTGGTGATACCCAGATTTCAAATCGATCTTGCTAAAGTACTTGCATCCCTGTAACTGGTCAAGTAAGTCGTCAATGCGAGGAAACGGTTCAGCATTCTTAGCAGTGACGACATTCAACCGTCTGTAGTCTATACAGAGACGTAACTCACCTTCCTTCTTAGGTACAAACAAGACAGGAGCACCATAAGGAGAAGAGTTAGGGCGAATCCATCCTTTCTCTGTTAAGTCCTGCAGTTGCTTTTTGAGTTCCTCAAGTTCCTAGGAGACATTCTGTAGATAAGGCCCTTGGGAATCTTACTGTCAGGAATAATTTCAATGGTGTGCTTTATAGCACGCGCAGTTATTCCTGTTGGCTCGATTTGTAGATCTTTATACTCATCCAAGAGTTTCTCAATCGAAGGAGGGCAGAAAGTAGAGCATTCTCCTACTTTCTTCACTAATACCATCATTATTTTCTGTTTCAGTTTCTTCTTTGAAACCATTGAACGAAATGTTGGATAACTCATACAGCAAAAAGAGAGACTAGAGTCAGAGCCAGACTTATGAAACAATTTGATTGGTTTCAAATTAGATTGTTCATCACGCAATTGCACAATCTTTTCTTTGAACTTGATATCTGGGTTGGCTTCCTCGTGCCAATCCATTTCCAGAATCAAGTCAAACGGTAAATTCTTTTCGACAAGGAAGGATACCTCGTGTATAATTATTTTCCCTTCCTTGGTTCGAAATCGATATTTGACACGATCAACACACTGCGAGATAGTGATCGTGC